CCTTGAAGTCCAGTATTTCCTATGTTCTGTCTCTGTCCATTTGCCCAGAGCCCGCCTGACCACACTGGGAGATGTGCCACAGAAGGGCTCCGGGCCAATGAACTCTGTCTCGGATCCCTTCCTAGCAAGTTCATCCTCTTTCTCATTTCCACAAATGCCTTTGTGCCCTGGCACCCAACACAGTCACAAAATTTATATTAATTCACAAAGATAAATTGAAATGTTGCCTTCTCGACCAATATTAACATAATATTGCAGTTGTATTGTCATCTATAAAATGCAAAAGATTTCAAAAACAATATAAACAAATATCCTATTTTAAGTCTTTCTGAGGAAATAAACAAAAAGGCACAATGATGTCTTTTATTTAGTAGCTAACTCTGTTGATATTATTAAGTTGTTTGTTTGAGTAGTTCTTTGATATACACTCTTAAAACACGAATAACTGGGTATTTAGGTACCTTCATTATTTAAATTTTTTAAATTTCCTATCAATCGCATACTTATTTTGTAATTGATTAAGACTAAGAAACTTTGATAGTGCTATACCAAATATAAGCATCTGCTTTGTATCAGTTGCAAGCACCTTGTCGAAGACTCTTGAAGTGAAACATACCGAAAATAATACCAACTGATACTGAGTCAGCGATACTTACTGAACAATTACATACACATTGAGACTGATACCATGGTACCAAAGGGGTCCGTTCAAGTAACCCTGAGCCTATCCATTTTTTTCTGTTAGGATAATTTATACCCAACGGAGGCGTTTAATTGTTCACTAATAATTATACTTGAAACAATATTGATTTATTCCGTGATGTCATTTATTCGGTGATTAATAGGTGTTAATATAATCAATGATCCTTGTTTCCATGACTACAAAATGAAACAGGTATTTTTGTTACAAATTTGTATTCTTTGTAGGTGCGTTTATGTTCAAAGAATTTTCACCTACTTATAATACATCAAGAGCTTTGATACAACCGAGATAACTTTGTCATAGAAAACCTGAGAGCGTGTTGCTTGGGAACTGCCCGAAGCCATAGTAACACACTTGAAGAAATCTGTATAATAATATTTTGAATATTTATCAGGGCTCGAGGTCGATTCAGTACAATTTTTTTTATTTTTAATCCACAATATTATTTAAAATTCATTAAAACTGCATTTGTTAGTTTATTACTTTTCAGTGATATTTTTAGGCGTATTTTCTAATAAAATCTCATTAATTAAATTATTTAAACATTATTTTTGCGAGACATTTTTATTAATACAAAATAAATTGATTGCCAATATGACATTTCTTGATTTTCAACCTTACGTTTACATCAGTCATGTCAACTTTGCTGATAATACCACGTGTTTTTATATTATTGCTGTAATATTTTTTAAATGGACACATATACTTAGCCTATAGACTTTTGTTATAATTTAAGAAATGGAGACTCTGTAGATAGTAGTAAATCACAAAAACCTTAAAGTATGTATGCTTATTATTGCCTTCTCAATTTGAAAGGTTTTCTGGAAAATGACCGCGGTAATTGAAAGTTGACCTTTTTTAAGATAAAAAAAAAATGTAGAATCTAATGTATCTCTTTCTACACAAAATTAAAATACATAATTAATAAAACATAATTAAAAAACCTATTACCACATTTTCCAGATATAATTTATTCTTGCACCGATTGGCATTGACAAAAGGAAAGTTAAACAATTAAATAAAAAGCTAATTTGAAACCACTACCCTGGCCACCACTAGTGCTAATTCAGAATATTTAAAATGCAATAATTTTCTTAATAGGTATTTCAAAAATTATATTGGATACCAGTAAGTTTGAAACATACAAGCTGCACCCCTGAGAAGTTATAGGCCTTGAAAGTGGGGTTTCAAATTTCGAAGAAAAACCAATATCTCAGTTATACATGAACTCAGAAAAAACAAATTTGGTACGTACACGGCATGAGTGTACCAAGAGCATACAACAAGTAGAATTCAATTGAAGCATTTCGAAGGGTTGATAAGGGATGATGCACCATTAAAATGTGACAGAATTTTTTAACCCGTTGGTGGGTTAAATTATTATTACTTAATTTTATGGGGAATTTAATTCTAAAACTTCTCTTACTCTTGTTAGTTTTCAAAAAACTTTGTCGTTTTCAACAAAAACACGAACAACTAATAATATATGTACGTATTATAGCTGTTACTTAAAATCATCGAAAATTCAAAAATTGGCTATGAATAAACGTCAAACTTGACGCTCAGGAACAAAAGTTGGAATAAGAATAATTTAATAGAAACACAAACAACTTAAACAACATAAGTAACATACATTTTGCACTGATAAGTTATAGAAATTGTTCAAAATGATCACCGTTTTCCCTTAGGCATACATTTAGTCGAAAATTGAGTCTACTCTATCCAATAACTAATGATTGTTTCTAATGAATATGCATTTATTCACAATGCGATTCCACAATTCTGTTCGAGACGCAACTGGCGAGGAATACACAAATTCTTTTAACGTTCCCCAAAGAAAGAAGTCACATTTGTTGAGGTCTGGTGATCGCGGAGGCCAAACTTGTGGGCAATTATTTCCTCTTCCAATCCATTTATTTGGATACTGGTTGGTTTAAAAAGTATTTAACAAACTAAAATGAGGATATGCTCTATCATGCATAAACCAATGTTCCAGTCTGAGTTGTAGTGGCACCTCGTCAATTAGATCCGGGTGAGTGTTTTGGATAAATTATAAATAAATTTCGCCATTTAATCGATTCGGTAAAATAACTGGACCAATTAAATATCATCTTTAAACTCGCGTTGGAAATGTCGAGGAGTTACTGAATGAGGGTTTACATCGGAATACTCTTGATAGTTATGTAAAGGACTCCGCACAAAAATATGGAAAAAGGGTAAATCTTGCTGAAATTTTGCAGAGAGGTAGGTTTCAGCTTGCTGAACAAAAGTCTCAATGACACCAAGATCAAAAAACCTCACCCAAGGCCACTGTGGCTTGAAATATACGAAAAAAAATATTTCGTTGAATCTTGCTAAACACAGGTCAACATTTGATCCACAATAAAACACCCAAAGCGGTCTGGTCCTTATAGGATTTTTGGGGTCGCTCCATCACATCAGTTTCAAAGTCAGTTTAAGGTCATTTCAAGGTCAGTTGAAGGTCAAGTAGAGAAATAACCGTCAAAAAATCTGAAAAAATTCATACGTATGTTTTCTAGGTCCCTAATCACGAAACCGTAGTTCGTTTGACCCCGCACCGACTCCCAGGGGTCATTCAAGGTCATACCAAGGTCATTTTGAAAGTCAAGTAGATGATCGTCGAAAAAATCTGGAAAAATTCACAAATATGTTTCCGAGGTCATCGGAGGTGACCGTCGGCCATATTGGATCCGCCATCTTGGATTTGTAAATTATGAAAATCTAACTTTATATTCGCGATCAGCGATCCTGAAAACCCCCGAGTAAAAAAATTCAGACAAAAATATGCTGTAGAATCATGTATGACTCAAAGGGTTAACTGACCTACTCATCGTAATTAGCGACCCCAAAAACCCTATAAGGACCAGACCGCTTTGGGTGTTTCATTGTGGATCAAATGTTGATCTGTGTTGTTTAGCGATTCAACGAATTACCCTTTTCCGTATATTTCAAGCCGCACAGTGGCCTTGGGTGAGGTTTTTTGATCTTGGTATCATTGAGACTTTTGTTCAACAAGCTGAAACCTACCTCTCTGCAAAATTTCAGCAAGACTTACCGAAAGACCATTTTTCATGTATTTTGTGTGGGGTCCTTTGTAATACTTCTGCGGGTGAAAGAAGCTTCATCAGTAAAGAGAATTTTCTTTTGAAAATTAATTAATGCCTTGATGTAAAACAAACTGACAGAAATTCACTCGTTTAACCAAATCATTCGGTAACTTGCACTTGCACTTTTTGAATAGGATATGGGTGTGCAGATCACTCGGTGCACAGAAGTTTACGATATATCAGTTTGTCGAGATAGAATTCTAGTACTAATATGTGGGTCATCTTTATTTGTATTTAAAATAAGTTCTTCGTCTTGTGCCCAGATTGTAATAGCACGTTATCGAGTGTTACTGAAAAACTTGCCTGTTTTTCGAGCTCGTCTTTCAACATTGGAAAATGTTTCTCTTTGGGGGATTACACGATTTGGAAATCTTCTCCGATATTCTTCAACACTTCTTCTGTACTTGCCTTCACAGAAACCTAAAGAGGATGTCAACTTGTTCACTAAATGAAAACTTCCCGGCCATTTTCAAAACACTCAGCAAACAATTACTAAAATTAAATGACTTTCACAGCCAACTTTCGAATTTTCGATGATTTTAAATAACAGCTACAATACGCACTATTAGTTATTCGTGTTTTTGTTGAAAACGACAAAGTTTTTTGAAAACTAACAAGAGTAAGAAAAGTTTTAGAATTAAAATCCCCAAAAAATAAAGTAATAACATTTTAAGTCTGCCAACGGATTATAAAATTCTGTCACATTTTAATGGCGTATCGTCCCTTATCAACCCTTTAAAATTCTTCAATTTAACTCTAATTAATGTCGATTAATGGTCTTGGTATACTCACTCCGTGTACTAAATTTGGTTTTTGGTAAGTTCGAGTATAACTGAGGCATTGATTTTTTCTTAAATTTGAAAAATTCCACTTTCAAGGCCTATAACTTCTCAGGAGTGCAGCTTAGTATAAAGTTAAGTTGCGTTAAATCATCACATTTTGGGTTCCCGTACATGCCCCTGCTCTGTGTCGGTTTTTATGTGAAACACCTTGTAAAATACAAATAAATCAAAGTATGGTTGTACTGCGCCTGAAGTATTAAGAACATATGAATATTTTCTGTTCAATATTGGGTGTACCTATTAAATCGAATAAAGCAGCGCAGCGTGCAGTGTAGTGTAACTGTTCTAATAAAAATTTCAGAATCAATAACACCCTTTCTGTTATAGATCAAGATGAGTCAGAGGAGAGGCGGGGACGACAGTGGCGGGTGAGGGCGCATCAGCACGGCTAGCACTGCGACACCCAGCCAGCCGTCGTCAATGGTGGGCGACCGAGATGGCGAAGGGCTGGCCGTGCGGTGGGACCAAATGTCGACGACGACGGAAACAATGGACAACAGAGGACTTCGATATTCTTCTGTACCACAAATCTCGCCTCCTCCACAACAGTCTTCAAATCCTTCACAGTTGCCACCACCTTTGCCGTTGCAACTTCAGAGGCCTTATTCTAGATCGATGTCATCACTTCCTCCGGAGCCCTTCATGATAATGCGCTCCAAAGCACTTAATCGAAGAGTTGTTATCAATGTAGGAGGTGTTAAACATGAAGTACTTTGGAGAACATTAGATCGACTTCCTCATACTAGACTTGGGCGTCTTAGAGACTGCAATACTCACGAAGCCCTTAGCGAACTTTGTGACGATTATTCCCTAATCGACAACGAATATTTTTTTGACCGACACCCTAAATCATTTAGTTCAATTCTCAATTTTTATAGAACGGGTAAGCTTCATTTAGTGGATGAGATGTGTGTGCTCGCATTTAGTGATGATTTAGAGTATTGGGGTGTCGACGAGTTGTATTTAGAGTCTTGCTGTCAGCACAAATATCACCAACGGAAAGAACACGTTCACGAAGAAATGCGTAAAGAAGCGGAATCCTTGCGGCAAAGGGATGAGGAAGAATTTGGAGAAGATAAATGTTCTCAGTATCAAAAATGGCTGTGGGATATGCTTGAGAAACCTACGACTTCAATCGCTGCCAGGGTGAGTCGACTAATTCAGTCAATATTTTTATATTATTCGTTAATTCCTATTACGCTAATGTACAAATATATTGCTGTCTAATGTAGAGGGACATTTTGGTGAGTAACACTGTTGCAGTTAGTGTTACTTACAATTAGTGCTTTAAGAATTAATGTAAAAAAATAATTGCTTTTATTTGTACCTTGTTGTATATATATTTTTTAATAAAATCCCTTTGATATAAATTGTAGTAAAACAAAATTGTAGTAATTAAAATGTGAAATACCATCAAGCAATAAAACGTTTTGATCAAACTGAAACATTACATACTTAGATAAAGTTAGAATTTGGATTTCTCGTATTTTTGATAGAAATAGTTGATTTTACAGTGTAGCTTAGCTAGATACTTATCACCTGTTAGTTAGCTACGTGTTTTTGCAAACTTGGTGTACCTATACTTACATAAGTTTTATATTTGAAGCACGTATTTCAGATAGAAATTTTGTTTTAAAATAAGTCTTCAAGTAAGTGAGAGTTTAAATATCATAGATACTTTATTTACGGATTTTAGATAAAATGGGTAGTCACATAGAAAAAACAAATAAGAGGTTGCTTTCTGTATCTTGGCTTTCTTAGCTATGCTAAAATGCTAGTACTAGAGCCGTCTATTGGTCTTCTGGAGTTAACTACTTATTTGAGCTTAGGGAACTGTTAATAGAGGCTATTCTTGTAATTTAATTAGGGGGTAAATTTACTCAGAATAAAAAATTTGTACTGCAGTTGTATTTTATTTCAAGTGAAATGCAAAATTGTTGATTATCTCAGATATCAGGTAAATAAAACACAGCTTATACCACAGTGACCCATTAACTGATTCAGGATTAAGTATTTACTCAAAATAACTAGTGACAAACTTTTTTTACAGCAAATGTTAAATTCATGTGGTTTGTTTGTTCAAATTGACATCTCTTTAAATAAAAATATGGCGACACCTTTTAAATTAAATAAATTTAAATAAAAGCTGCAGTTTCGCACTATTTGAGTCTCATCATTACGACACATTACTGTTTGCAAGAGTTAAAGGGTAGTTAATCGTAGAAGCTGCATATTTCAATAATTATTTTAAAAAGTGTTCTCTATTATTATGTAGGATACGTAATATTAATACATAAATGCCAAAGATCATCAAATATTTTTTTTCTGGGACGGATCTGTTACAAAAGTAAAAAAGTATACAGGGTGTTTTTAAAATAAGTGCGTTCCTTGAAAGGGGTGAGAGAGGGCACGGAACCACTTTTTTAAGCAACTGCTTGTCGAAAACTACGTTTTAAATTGAAAAAAAAAAATCACATGAAGGTTTAAACAAATTTAAAGCCGTCCCTGGTGCGGCAGCCAGCTGTACCTTTGATATAGAAGTTGCCGCGCGCTGCAGTGCGAAAGCGCTGATAGCGGTGTTGACGGTTTAAATTTTGTTGTTGTTTAAATGCTGAAATTTATTCAAATCTCGTTTAAAAGTAACACAAAAATTAAACGAATAAACGAATTACTTACCAATAGACAATATGCTCTAAAAAAAATTGTTCAAAGTTGTTTCCATGTGCTAATAAACATGTTTCCAAATGACGGTCCAAATTAGTCTGTATATGTGCAAAAACTTCCGGCATTTGTCGAATTTCATTAGCTGCAGCAAAAATATGCTGTTGAAGATCTGTTGCATCGACAATAGGCTTTCGGTACACATTTTATTTCAAACATTCCCAAACAAAAACGTCCAGAGGGTTCATATTCGGACTTCGTGCTGGCCAACGTACAGGACCATTTCATCCTATCAATCTTTACGGAAAGTTGGCACGGTACTGTTAGACTCACTTCTCGACCAATGTCGCGAGTACTGCGCCTTAGATCTTCCTCAACGAGGTTTATTATGTTCTCTTCGTTGTCGAAAACATGTTGCGGGATTCCCGTCCAAGACCTTCAATGTCGGTGCATCACGCATGTAGCGACTCCGAAGCATTACATTTATGGTTAATTTTCTTTCTCGAAAACAGAAGCATTTAGACCATCAGTTGCTAAATAAAAGTTGCTCATTTTCGTGCGCTTTATCACTCTTTTCAATGAACGCACTTATTTCAGAAACGCCCTATATATTAATGTTAAAAACCACAAATACGTGTAAAAATTTTCTTACATGTCCTATATTTCACTTTTAATGCACATCTCACACTATTATAATACATTAAAAATATGAGAATTAGAAAAAAAAGGAGACATTTTTTCTTCAAAAAAGTCTAATTCATTAAAAAATAATATTATTTGCTTGTTAATTCAAAGGAATAAAAAAAAATTCGAAAAATTTCCATGAAGTGTAGAAAACTATCTTTATTTATTACCGATTTTGATGAAACTTATGACAGTTAAAGACCCTTATGATATGATTATATCTACAATGGTCATTCCATTATCTTAATCAGAAAGAAAGTTATTTTAAAAAATATCCAAATGATAAAACCCCTTTGGAGGGACATATCTCAGTAATGGTGCTTCGAAGAACCGATGTTTATAGAAACTTTTTTTACTATTTTTGGTTCTACTTTCACCTCCTTAAATTTTGTACCAATTTTTTCAAACACCCTGTATATTAACTTAGTGTTAATAGTACTAAATAATATACCATAATATACCACAAGGTAGTTTCCATCAACGAGCAAAAAATCGACATTTTTGATTTTTTTGAAACTGAATTTTATGAGAACGGTGTTTCTTTTCGAAAAAAAGTTGTGGAGTTCTGTGGCGCCATGTCAAAATTTACATCGTGACAGCGTTATTCCGAAAATGAAAATGCATATTTTTTTCAAGTAGGCCGTCATTTTGACCCAAATAATCCTGTCGATTTTTTTTAAATTTGCAAAATTTCATCAGCTTTTATCTGTTTTTTTTTTAGAATTCAAATTGCTTTAAAACTTTCTGAGATAAATGAGAAAAACAGTATAAAGTAATTTTTTTTCAAACTTGACTCAAAATCTCCACCTTTTATTTTCACCTGGATATATTCTTCAAGGCCAAATAAACTATCTTTTAGCCAAGCGGCAATATACCAACTGGTTCAGTTCGGGAGATACGGCTTCCAAAATGCATATTTTTTTTCAAGTGGTCGCCATTTTATTTATTTATTTATTTAAAATTACAACTGCTTCTGGGAAAATCCCAGTTACAGAAAAACAAAAAATATAGTTATTACAAAATACAGTAGAAAAATCAAAAACAAGTGAAAATACATAGAAAATGCAACAATATATGACAAACAATAACACATATTTAAATAAAGTTATCGTATCAATGTTGTCCTGCAAATTAGCAAAATTCCGGCACATTGCATATAATGGAGAAAAGTGCAATACATTAGTTCTAGCAGTTGTCAAATAAAATGTCTCAGTAGTGCGAGTGGTAGCTCTAGGGACATTGAAATTAAGTTTACACAGTAATAATTCTGAACAATCAATATTAGCACCAATCAAATTAAAGGGGACAATAATACTATGCATATTACGCTGAGTCATTAAAGATTTGTAACCGTACTTTTTAGAAGTGCTGCAAATAACCAATGGGATGATAGATTTAGTTTCTTTATAATGTATCAATTTTAAAACTATTCGTTGCGTTTTCTGCAAAAAATCAATGTGATTTGCATAATTAGGATCCCAAATAATAGAACTAGCTTTCATCTGATGAAACAGTTGTATATCTTTATGGTGTACACCAAAGATTAAATCTATCAAGGTTTTCCTGTGGATTAACGCAGTCCTGAACAGTTTTTATCCTTAAATAGATTTTTATATCAGCATATAAAAGGTGAGGAACATTCAAACAACCCACATCATTGCTAATAAGCTTATTAAATAAATAATAATGGGCCCAAGATAGATCCTTGAGGGACACCGGACACAACCGGAAAATTGTTTGATGTGAAACCTCTGAAATACACGTTCTAACACGATGTCTGTTAGAAAGGCATGAATACAAAAGATGTAGCTAAGCCAATGACCCAAATCATCCGGTCGAAACGTTTTTTCTTTCAAAATGTGCATCTCCCGAACGGAGCAAGTTGGCATATTACCGCTCGGTTAAAAGATAGCCTATTTGGCCTTGAAAAACATATCCTTTGGTGGTGAAAATAAATGCTTAGGTTTTTGAGAAAATGAATTTTGAAAAAAACAAATTTTTTTTCGGAAAAACAAAAGCACAGGTCTCATAAAATTCAAAGTAGATTCCATTTGGAAAGTACCGGATATTAAATTAATATTTTCGAGTGTAGCTTTAACAGATTTAGTATAAAATGTACCATATTGGCAATACTGCCATAAAACATAAATACTAGAAGTTTTGCATAATTTTATGGCTTTATCTTACTTTTATTATAATTTAATAAAATGACGCCATCTATTTCTTTACATATTAATGCTGAATAAAAATTCAAGAGACCGTTAGATGACGCTGTAATTTTTCCATGAAATTTATATTAAATGGAATATACTTTTTTGTTTTCTCTATGGGTAGCCATAATGTCATAGAATTCATATTATTTTCTTTATTTAAAGCATATACAAGAGCGAACATAAACTCATACAGAGTGTTGCAATATTCCGCCGACAAAATTCTATGGATTATTTACAGAAAATAAAAATTATACGATTATAGGTATATAAATCCTCAAACACTGTTTTTGAGACGCGGAATGATACTTTGCAATTTTAGTTATTCTCATTACTTTACTATTTTTTTTAAAGATACTTCATTTAAATTCGATGCTTTTACTTTATAGTTATATTAAGCAAATTCAAATTCATTTTAAAAACTTTAGTATATTCAATACTTTTTTGAAGAGCGACGGAATAAACGAATAACATTTGAAGTAATTTACAGAATGATACTTTTTTAGAATCATAACTCCTCAACCACAAACCCCATAGTCTACGAAATTTTTGTTGCTATTCTTTATTTGAAAAAGATAACTTCTCTGTTTC